CTTGTGGGGGAGATATGTGCAGGAGGAGCCTTGCTTCTCAGCACTTCCTCTGCTCCCACTTGATCCAAGCCACGTTTACTCCTCGGCTGGATTATTGAAATAGCTCCCTCGCCACCCCCCTCCCTTATCCCAGCTTCCCTCTGTTTTGAATCCACCAGCCAGAGGGATCTTTTAAAATGCAGGTCAGATTGGGTCTTTCCTCTGCTCAAACCCTCCTATGGGGTCCCATCTCACTCACAGAAATACCCAAAGGAGACCCTACAGACTCTGATGCCAACCAAGCTCATCTCACTGGCTTCATCTCCTGCTGCCCCTCTGCACTCACTCCAGTCCAACAACACTGGGCTCCTTGCTGTTCCTCCTGCACACCACACACGCCCTGACCTCAGGACCTTTGCACTGCTGTCCCCTTAGCCTGGAATGCTCTTCTTCTACCCATGCGCACAGCTTTCTTCTTCGCTCACTTCAGAGCTCTGTTCCCATGTCATCGCCATCGCGGGGCCTTCCCAGACCACCACGTATAAACTATTACTTATTACTTATTATTATTACTTATTGTTATTATTATTAATTAATACTTATTACTATATGATTGAGAGAGAGAGAGAGAAAATCCCCACCCTCAACACTTCCTGGGCCCCAGTGTTGTTTTCCTCCACGGCGCTGACCAGCTTCTGATATGTCGTTTGTTTATTTTCTGACCCCCACTGGAGGTGCAAGGGCAAGGACTCTTTCTTTTCATTGTGCCGAGAACAGCATAGGGTGGAAACTCACAAACATCTGAAGAATGAGCCAGTATGCACCAGATGGACACACACACATATGCTAGCATGCACGATTGCAGACCCATGTCCACAGGCATGTAGGATCCACACCCATTTACTCGAGAGCCGGAGAGCACATGGCTTACAGGAGGTGAGGCTGAGAAGTGGACGGTGAAGCCAACGCTAACTGAGCCAGGCTGGGGCTCAACTTTTCATGGGATTCAACAACTGCGCAGTAGGATGAGACGTGTGGCCCAGAGAAGGCCACCCACACGCCCAAGATCTCAGCGGGAGGCCCGGTGGAGCCAAACGTGACCCCACGGCACTACAGCTGCCTCCCCTGAAGGGCTCGGAACGCCAGGACGGGGCCCTGTAGCTGATCCCCCACAGGACAAGCAGCTGGAACAGAAGAGGAAGGAAGGGAGGGAGGGAACAGGCTGGAGTGTCTGCAGCAGCCGCGGTAGAGTCGGCTGGCGGCCAGGGCAGCTGGCCAACACGCCCGAAGGCGGACCCGGTGGGCTGGGTATGAAGGCCCAGGGAGGAAGGGAGAGATGGGGTCGTGAGGACCTTGCCCCTCAAACAACAGTGCAGGATCAGCACTGTACAAGGTCACCTGGCCTGGGGCAGGTGGGGACTGAGAGGCGGCCACCCTTGTCCGGCCAAGCGTGCCTCCTGGCCTAGGGCTGATCCACTCAGAGGGGCATCTTTTCCCATCCTCCTAAAGGTGCCCTCTGCCAAGGGGAATCCAAGTCCTGGGTTCGAGGCTCCACCCCATCATCAGACATCCTGTGCAAATTTGGACCACACTCTTGGACTCCACCCCTTTCTAAAGTGGGATCTGACCGTAGGCCCCTGCAGCCTTTCCATAGAGCACACCCTCTCCTCCCCAGCACCCCAAACGCCACCCGCCACAATCCTTCCTGTGCCTCAACTCCAACTGCCACCTTCTCTGAGATGCTGTCCCTACTCCGCGATTCACTAGGCCTGGCCCTCCAACGTTGACGGGCTTGCATCATGAAAGTCCCTTATGGCCGTGTACCATTTCGTTCTACCATGGTTTTTTACTGCATAAAGTCCCTCCAAGCCTTTCTCTGCATGCTCAGAATTAAATGGACACTGCTTCTCTTCCTCCAGTCCTGCCCATCATGGCCTGTACCCCTCTCTCCTTCATCTTCATCTGTACTGCTCTGTGCCAACCACAGTGGCCTCCCCCCTCTTCCTCAGCTTCTCCCAGCCTCTGGACCTTTGTACATACTGCTCCATCAAACCATACTGTCCCCAGCTCCGTCTCATTCCTCCAGATCAGCCAATGTCACCTCCTCTGAGAGGTCCTCCCTGATACCTTGTCTATAATAACACGCACCTTAACTCTTTCATCATCCTCTTCCTTCCTCTTTCCTGCTTTATATTCCTTCTTAATACCTACCACTCCCTGGAATTGCATTGTAGATTTTATTCCTTTGTTACCAGAAGGTCAGCTCCATGAGAGCTGGGACTTTATTTTATTACTTTGTCCCCAGTGCCTAGCGCAGGAACTGGAATCAAGGAGGCATGGGTAAATATTTGTAGAAAGAGTCTATGAATAACCAGAAGAAATGCACCTCTCTCCTGTCACATTGCTGAGGAGCTGATTGCATCTTGCTGTCTTACACAAAGAGATGATCTTTAAAGTGTGTTGAATGAATAAATGAAATGCATTTCTGTCTCCCCACTTGTAGCAGACACTAATGTTTAATGAATGGATGAATGATTGAATCTTAGTGTGTCCCCGTCTTGTAAAAGGTATTATAAAGAAAGACATAAAGAAGAGAGGGGGATGGGGGAAGAAGAAAGAGCCACAGTGGGGTGCTTGCAAACACTGAGGGATCACCCCTTGTTCCCACTTCCTGCACCCCCCACAGCCCTCCCGGAGATGGTCCCCACTTCCCCAAACCCTCCCTCCCACCAGCCCCTCCCCTTTGCATCCCTACAGGGCTGTGATGAGCCCTGAAACTGCCTGATGGAGTCAGGGGACCAGTTCCTGCCACGCGCAGGGAAGACATAAGCTCCAGGAAATGAAGGCCTCGGAGCAGCGCCTCCTCCTCACCCATAACTCCAGTCTCATTAGGACTAGCCCTGGCCATAACGTGGGGAATCGACGCTGGATGCCCAGAGGCAGCAGCACAGCTCAGGGACCACCCGGGTGGGGAAGGGTCTGCCAACATCTTCAAGCCTAGACCCCCCAGAGTGGGGTTAGGAGGGGGTGGGGTCCTGGGGATGCTCTCATCAGGGTCCCAGGTCCTCCTGATGTCCATCAGTTCAGGGTGGGTCCTAAAGGGAAAGAGGGCTGGCTCAGGATGCTTCCCTTCCATTCCTCTTACGGACTGTGGGGGTTTTCCCGTTTTCACTGCCCTAAAATGTAGTTTTGACCCCCTCACTACTGCCCCTACCTCCCAGCAGATGACTCCCTCCCCCAGAACACCTTCCATAAAGAAATTCTGGAGCTGAGAGGGGGAAAGAGCACTGGGGAGTTGAGCATCTGTGAAATGGGTATAAGACACCCACTTTCACAGCTGTTGTGACTCATGTGACTTAGCGAGTTAAATTGCAGCAGGCCCCCAACTTTTGGCACCAGGGACCAGTTTCAGGGAAGACAATTTTTCCATGAACCGGGGGTGGGGGAGATGGTTTCAAGATGATTCAAGCATATTGCATTTATTGTGCACTTTATTTCTATGATTATTACATCAGCTCCTCCTCAGATCATCAGACATTAGATCCCAGAGGTTGGGGACCCCTAAAAACATATGAAAATTGCCCACTGGGGTCCTGGGTCACATGAGGCCCATGTCTTCTGCCACTCCCCGGCCCCCCACACACCAAATTCCAGCTACTTCCTTTGTCCACAGGAGGACCTGGCTGGGGCCAGGCACTTTCGCAGATTCTCTGCTTAGCTCCACATACCTCATGGTTTCCAACCTGCCTCTCCAAACTAGCCAGATCACGCCCAGCCTGGCTGCACACTCAGCTACCAGAATGCCCATCCCTTTCTTCTCACCCAGTCAGATGCCCCCCTCCTCCAAGCAGCAGCCCTGATATCCTTCCATACACCTGCGCCTTCCAGACAGGTGTCAGGTAGCACCCCGTTTTATAGCCCTGATTACATGCCACCCAGCATTTAAGTCATTACTGGGGGTCTTGTCTACCCCCCCACTAAACTGTGAGCTTATTTCATCTTTGTCTTAGCATCCAGCCCAAACCTGGACCAGAGTGGAAGCTCAGCAGAATGGAGTGGTTGAATTGAACGGGGCTGGGAGGGGGCAGGGAACTTGAGGATTCACCTCTGCTCATGCTTCTCAGGCCGAAACTCCTCCATGGAAGCAGCTTCCCTGTCCCCTGTAAACACCCACATGAAGCCATTATTCATCATTATGGCTTGAGTAGGAGTTAGTCGCTCAGATCCTTTCTGGCTGAAAGCAGGATCTGATAGGGGCGGGGTAGCGCTGGTCCGGGGTAGTGGGGGGAGTGTCTCTCAGTCTCCAGGAAAAGGTTTTCTGGTGGGGAGAGAGGGGGCGGGTGGAGACACCAAAGGCAAGCACAGAGGGGGTGTGACGCTGCCAAAGCCACACAGGATGCCTCCAAGCAAGGCCCTCTGGGACTCAGGTGCCCCACTCCTGAAAGGGGGTTGCGGAGGGCTTTCCCCGGGCTCTTGCTCTGGATGGAATGGCTCCCCTGTGCTGCCGCGGGAGGGCCGGAGGGGTGGTGGGGTGGCAGGCTGGACTCTGTGCACCCAGGAAGCTGGGTCCTGGGAGCTCTCGAGTGTTTCTAGAAGGGTTGGCTTCCTCTCGGTCGGGGTTATGGGGGCAGGGGGGCTGGGCTACAGAGATTGTGGGGGCGGGGCGGGCAGGAAAAGCAGCTCAAGGGGTCCCTGTGGGCACGTAGGGTGGCCCAGGACCAGTAAGAAAGGGCTGGACCAGGGGGGCTGAGGAAAAGGGATGCTGGGGTAGGAGAGGTGAGCGGTGGGTGTTCAAAGGAAGCACGCGGGGCTAGCGGAGGGAGCGGGGGAGGGGCAAGACTGCTAGACCGTGGGCCCAAGAAGGCTGGGACTACTCTTTCCTCTGTCCCAGCCTCACAGTGCCAGGCACACAGCAGGTGTTTAACTGGTACCTAAAAGGACAAAAAGATAGACCCAACCCGCCCCGACCCCGCAGAGCGCCTCCTCAGATGTCTTCTTGTTTCTCTCACAGGCTCCTGGGCGGGACGGCCCCTCGTTCCCGAAGGACCAGCCCGGCCCCGGCCAGCACCCCTTCGCGCAGGAACCATGGCGCATCCCAGATTCCGGAGCCGCCGAGGCGCTGCCTGGTGACCCGGCCGCGCCGGCGCCAGGGGGGCGCGGGCGGGGACCTTGGGGGGCCGTCCATGCCCCGGGTGCGGTCGCGCCCCCTCCCCCTCCAGCCGGGCGCCCCCGCGGCTGGGCGGCGATCAGGGCCGCGGGCCTGTCCGGGTGCCCCGTCGGGGGCGGCGCCCCGGCGGCCGCGCTGAGCCCACCATGTGACCGCGGCGCCGCTCCGTCCTGGCCACCGAGCGGCGACACCCTGGTGCCTCCCGTCCATGCTCCTGGGCCCGGGCCCCTCGCAGGCCAAGCATGAGGCCGCGGCCTGAAGGCCGGGGGCTCCGGGCGGGAGCCGCGCTGTCGCCCGCGCTGCTGCTGCTGCTGCTGCTGCTGTTGCTGCCGCCGCCGCCGCCGCCGCTGCTGGGAGCCCTGTGGGCGGCGGGCACGCCTGCGCCGTCGGTGCAGGACGGCGCGCCCGGCGCTGGCCGCGTGAAGCGCGGCTGGGTGTGGAACCAGTTCTTCGTGGTGGAGGAGTACACGGGCACCGAGCCCCTGTACGTGGGCAAGGTAAAGGGGGACCCAGCACTCGCCATCCTGCTCCTAGGGCCCCAGAGACACACGCTAGCAAACTCGAGGGATCCCAGTTCCCTCCCACCCCCTCCCAAACCCCTTCTGCCTCCTCCCAGCTGCCCCGATGGGGCGGGCGGACGGACCACAGGATCCTCACTCTGCTCGCATCCCCGCCCTGCATCCTTCTCTGGACCCTCTTGCTTTCGCATCTTAGAGCAGAGAGGACTAGTAGGGCGGAAAGTCAGTCCGTCTTGTAGCTGGACCCAGCTAGAGTGCAGAATGCTATGCTATGCTAAATCTCTTCAGTTGTGTCCGACTCTTTGCGACCCAATGGACTGTAGCCAGCCAGGCTCCTCTGTCCATGGGATTCTCCAGGCAAGAATACTGGAGCCGGTTGCCAGAATGTAGAAAGGAGTTTGCATATCTGATCATATCACAGACTCCCTGCTATGCTCAAAATTCGTCCATAGCTTCCCATGCACTTGGGGTCAAGTTCAAATTCTGCCCTATTGCTTGCAAAGATCCGGCTTCTCCAACCTCATCTCCTGCCACATTCCGAGTTTTGGGCCACAACACCCTTCTGATACCTTTCCCTGGTCCCTCTGCTGCCCCCACAGGCTTCTGCCAGCCCCACACCCCCTTACCTACCTCGATTGCTTGCCTCCCCTAACTGCTCCATCCTGCTCCTTCTTTTTATTTATATTTTTGACTGCATTGGGTCTTCCTGTGCATGGGTTTTCTCTAGTTGCAGAGTGGGGGCTACTCTCATGTTGCGGTGGTTTCTCTGGTTGTGAAGCGCACTCTAGCGTGCGCGGGCTTCAGTATTTGCAGCTCCTGGGCTCTTGAGCACAGGCTCAATAGCTGTGGCACACAGGCCCAGTTGCCCCACAGCAGGCGGGATCCTCCTGGACCAGGGATCGAACCCATGTCCCCTGCATTGGCAGACGGACTCCCAACCACTGGACCACCAGGGAAGTCCCCATCCTGCTCCTTCTGTTGCTGACTTTATCTCATACTCAGGTCTCCACTGAAATGCCACTTCCTCAGAGAAGCCATCCGTGATCACACCCATCTGGGATGGATCCCCGTGCATGTGGCCCTTGAGGTCCCCATATCTTTCCTTCATAACACTTCATTATGTATGTGTTTTTGTTTGATTATGCAATTAATGCATGTCTTTCCTATTAGCTTATGTTTGTTTTGCTCACCATAAAATCCATAGCGCCTAGCACAGACGTTGTACACAAATTGTTCATTGAATGAATGAATGAATGAAAGCTACTTTCTCAAACTGAGGAAGCGTTGGTTAATGTGACTGAAGGTCTATGCCTTAAGAGTATATGGAACTGAGAAGGACTTTCGTTCGTCCCTTTAATCCCTAAGCCCCTCATGGGTGTGATGGTGGAGAGGCAGAGACACCCTGGTGCATAAAAAGCTTCACAGGTCAGCACCTGGCACTGAGTAGGCATTCATTAAGTGATATCTGTTGGCTGGCTTTGTGGAAGTGTTTTCTAAATGCCTGAGCTAGGTTTTAATATATGAGTAGGAGTTTGGGCTGATGGGAAGAGGGCATAGCCTATAAAAAGACTTGATGTCCTTACGGAACTTGGCTTATTTAGAGTCTTGTCAACAGTTGAGATGTTTATAGTGCATAAGTGAAGTGGGCTTCCCAGGTGGCACTAGTGGTAAAGAACCTACCTGCCAATGCAGGAGACAGAAGAGATGTGGGTTTGATCCCTGGGCCAGGAAGATCCCCTGGAGAAGGACGTGGCAACCCACTCCAGTATTCTTGCCTGGAGAATCCCATGGAGAGAGGAGCCTGGCTGGTTATAGTCCATGGGATCGCAAAGAGTTGGGCACAACTGAAGCGACTTAGCATGCACACACGCAATGACAGTTGTATATTTCATTACTCATAATTCAATGTTTGGTGCTGTGGCCTAACCTAGGTACAGGGGAAATGGAAATGAACAGCCATATGCTTGATCCAAGGCAGATTCTTAACCGCTGGACCACCAGGGAAGTCCCTAGTTGTTTATTGTTGTTTTCTCATTATTCCCATATGAAGCATTTAATTCTTAAACTGCAAGGTAGAAACCATTCCATTTTGTAGGCAATGGACTCAAGGTGCAGAGCAGGGAGGCATAGAGTGAGCAAGTGGCTTAGCAAGGATTGAAACCCGTGTGCTGATTCTCCAAACCTCTACAAGACCTCCAAACTTGGGAGAGAGATTTGGGTCCAGGAAAAGCCCAGAAACTCAGAGAGTGACTGACACGTCTACCTGATTGTCAGCTACGGTGGTCTCAGGCACCTCGGCCATGTTGTCTGCCTGCCAGCTGGGGCTCTGAGAAGGTCTCCTCAGCCACCCACATCCTGAGCAGATGAGAGAAACCAGCTGCTGATTCATTCACCATTTCCCATCTGCATCCACCTAGCAGTTATTGTTATGAGTCAAACACCACCCTTGTCTTGTTGAACCACTGTCTCTAGGTGATGGGGGGCATACTAGTACCTGCCTTCCTGGTAAGGGGAAACTGAGGCCAGAAGAGTATCATGCCGAAGCCAGTCAGCTTCCCAGGGATTTTTGATCAGCAGAGATGGAGTGAGTGGTGGTGGAACCACCCCCAAGAGGTGAGGTTCTACTGACACCAGGTCTGGCCCCAGTGCAACTTTTTAATAGTTTTTTTTTTTTTTTTGTAATATCTTGACCCTATTTATTTATTTTAACTTTTTGGCCATGGGGCATATGGGATCTTAGTTCCCTGACCGGGGATCGAACCCACACCCCCTGCCGTGGAAGCATGGAGTCTTAACCACTGGCCCGCCAGGGAATTCCTCCAGTGCAACCTTTTTTTAAAACTTTTATCGGAGTATAGTTGATTTACAGTGTAGTGATAGTTTCAGGTGTTCAGCAAAGTGAATCAGTTATACATCTGCCCACTCTTTTTTAGATTCTCTTCCTGTGTAAGTCATCACAGAGCACTGAATAGTTCCCTGTGCTGCCCAGTAGTCCTGTATTAAACACCCTCTATGAGCCCCGCACTGTGCCCAGCCCCGGGGGTCCTTCTCCTGGCAGCCTCTCCCAGCATCCCCACTGCCGTCATGACTATGTTATCTTCCCCCTCCATCATCTTCACCCAGAGCCCCTCCTCCCTCACTCTCAAGGCCACCTCCAGAAAAGCACTCTGTGCAGGGAGAAGAGAGAAGTTTCCATCTCTTTGCGAACATGGGCCCAAAGCACCCTTTCTTGTGAAAGGTGGTATAGTGTGTGGTTCAGAGATATATGTATACGTCTATGTATACTATGTACATGTATAACTGATTCACTTTTCTGTTCAACTGGAGTCAGACTGCCAGGGCTCAAATCTCAGTTCTGCTGCTGATTCCTTTTCTGACCTTGGCACATTATTTAACCTCTCTCTGCCTAAGTTTCTTCATCTGCTGAGCAAGGCTGTACCTGGCACCTTCTCAAAGAGTTGCAGTGAGGATTCAATGAGTTAGCATATGCCAAGAACCTAGAGATCACGTTCTATGTGCCCAGTAAGTATTAGCTTTTATTATGATGGATCTTGCCTGATTTTCCCCCTGCCTTGAGTATACACCGGTATTATGAACCCACGCCCCAAATCCCGAAAGCCTTCTTTGCAACCTGATGTGCTAGTTTCTCACCACAAGGTAGGAGGAGGTGGTCGCCAGCCCACCCCTCACTCTGGGAAGATGAGCTCGTCCTCTTGAAAACCACCTGTTCCCGTTCCAGCCAAGTCCCACTTTTGTACAAGTGGTTGTGTATGCACGCACACATACACACACATTCATACTACACACTCTCGCTCATCAGGGAGAAAGGACTTCTCCACAGTTTCAGTTAATTCACTGCTTCCCGGTCCCCGCCCCAGGGAGCCGCTGGGAGCATCCGTCCTTGTCGAATTCCAAAGGTAGCTTAGCAACAGCACCATCCGTGGAGTGAACCCCAGGCGCCCAACGGTAACCTATTTTACAGCCGCCTCCTCCATCACTCACCACCAGGCTCCTGTCGGCACCTTCGGGAACCACTGGGCCCTGTGGTTGTCACCAGGGCCCCACACCAACAATTCCCTCTGCTGTCCTGCCCCCCCGCCCCCGACTCCCCCCAAGAGCTTGGGGGCTGCCTCTTCCCTACACCTTCTCACAACTCCCACCCTCGGAGTGGCCTCCCAACATTTCCATACAATCTGGGTACTTTGACTAATCCCTTTTCCGAACTGTAATTTCCCCTGAGGCTTCTGTCAGCTGGATGTGGGTTTTGTAGGATTTTTAATTCTTCTTTTTTTTTTTTTAAAGAGAATTATGGGGTCAGCACTTATGACCAACTCCTGTGGGCGGTGAGATCTATTTTAGATATACGGCAGGATTAAAGTGGGGAGGAGAGCAGATTTAATTAAGTTGCTAATATTTAAAGAAAATTGATGAACTCCTGGTTTACGAGTAGCACAGGCATGAACAGATCCCTCATTCTGGGGGACGCTTTTTATTTGATTTGCTTTCCGTTTAAATCCTGGACTCGTTTTATTTGCGTAGCCGCACTGTCCGTTTAATTGTCTTTAATAAGGAAAACGTACCTCTGCTCGCATTTAATTTTGATTTAATTAGGAGGAAGTAATTAATGGCCTCGTAAATCCCATTTTTCAGCATCCCCCGCCCGCCCCACTCCAGGATGAGAAGCCATCACTCTGGTGTTTTTCAAGTTGTTTATGATCCTGGGCTGGGGTTTAGGGAGGGGGAATCCCCTGCGGGGCTGCCTCCAATAGCTGCAGTGAAAAGAGCCCAGGATGTGGAGGCAGACAGGCCTTGGGCTGCCTCTTGTTAGCTGTGTGGCTTTAGGTAGGATGTGTTCCCTCTGTGAGCCTCAGTTTGCCAATCTGTACAATGGGGAGAGGATGAACTCTGAGCCACAAGATCATTATGCAGTATCAAGGAGGTAACAGTAGAGGGTCTAAAAGTGTGCCTAGTGATTGTCC